TATATACATATATGTATATATATATATATATATATATATACAGATTCGGATATGATAATTCATATATTAATTATAGATTTTTTAAATTTTCAATATTTATTGGTGTTTCCTAATACTATCATTATTCCATTTACAAAAAATTATAGCTGTCAAACAATCAATTTTTAATTAAAAATAAAAAATTCAATGTTTATAAATCTATGAAAGCTATTAAAGTATATGACAAATATAAAAGTAATCCTTTATTCAATAACAAGTCCGATATTATTAATAATTCTTTATCTATTTATTATTTCTAAAATAATAAGACCAATGCTGAATAATATTCAAGAAATTAACGTCCTTAGCTTGATCCTACTGTAGAATATAAAATAATTAAATAATATTATTGTAGGAATTATTTATAATTTGCATAATTTTATTATAAAAATTTTAATAGTTAATTACAATAAAACTTCTTTATAAACAATTAATTTAACATTTACAACAATATAACTTTACATGTTATAATAATATTTGTCTTCAATTTTAATACAAAGATTATTTATAATTTTAAGTAATTAATTAAGTAATTAATTAAATAATTTAAGTATGTATCAAGAATTAATTTTTAAATGATTAATAATATGCATGTAATGTTGATGATATTCATTTTTTTTTTAAACCATTCTATTCAAAGGAAGTGGTTCCATATTTAAAAAATTATATAAATAATTCAATGTAATTATATAAGGATAATACATATAAACATATTTCTAAATAATTAAAATACTTTATCGAAAATTGAATTTCCAAAATAGCGTTTTACATAAAATGTATGTGTAAACATATTTTACTTTCGTACAATTCTATATTTTATTAGAAAATTTCTTTGTTTAAAGTCTCTTGTATATATTAGGATATAGCATACGTAAATAGAAATTTAAATCGATAATATTCTAACCAATAAGTATTAATAAAACTTGTATTGATTTTCAATAGTAAATAATAAATAGCGGTAAATTGAAGCCAATGTTATAAAATCAAAAAAGTATAAATATTAATAGCTATTTCAAAATAATCTCTTTATTCTATTACAAAATTATTATTTGATTGTAGATTTATATGAAACTTAATATATAAATTTTAACTGCTGTATTATTGATAATCATTTCATTCGTTTTAAAATAAATAAGTTTTATGTTTGGCTGAACATGAATGATAGAATAATTTTTAAAATAGTAGATATATCGAGATATATCGAGAAATAATTGTAGTCGCGATTACATGTACTCTTACAATAAATGTTTTTTAATTAACCAGTTTATTTTTATATAGTTTAAATATATTAAACTAAAATATTTTTTATATGCCTCCGTTTATATTAATTTATATTGATTTTTAATTTTATACGAAGAAATATAAAAAGAACTATGAAAATGTAAATGCACGTATTCTATGAAAATTTATAACAATGTATTTAAAAATTACGTTTTAATTTAAAAAATACGGCTTTGAAGACGTACATCTTTCTATCGACAACTAAACTGACTTATCATAAATATTTATTTGTTGAAATTGATAACTCATACACTTCACAATTTCGTAAATAATGTTTATTACTCACAAAAGCTATAATTACAGTAAAGTTTTTAAGAATTAAATTATCATAGAATTACACTTTCATTTAATATTTATAGGCATTTTTTCATATAATTATTTATCACTATATTGTTACACTTAACAATATTAAGTATTCTTCTTTTAGTTTTTGTTTGAATAAAACAAGATATATTCTTTGTAAGATAAGCTTATCTTCGGTACACAAAACAACATTTTAATTGCACAATCTCAAAACATCCTTGGATAATTATTATTATATCGTTTATGAATATCTTTCAGGCTTCACATTGACTTCCCTGACGTTACGCGGATGCTTTCTTCGTAATATATCTTTACACGAGTCCAATACTTTTCTACATTTACGCATGAAATTATGAATGTAATAGGCCATTATAAATTGTTATCTATTCGTATATTGTAATTATCCACTAAACTACGAAGCGTCCATAATTTCATCGGATTGAAATCGAAGGTCCAGCTCAAATATCGAATAAATTAGTATCGATCATGGCCAGGAAGCATAGGGAAATCGATCGCCACGGCTATTCGTAGTTATCTTGTCCCTTCGTTCGACCTGTCTTCTCCAATTGCATGTGCATTATCTGTCAAAACGACGAGTTTTCCACAATACGAGTATATAATGGTATATGTTACTCGCCAGTAGCTCATTCAACTTACGGATCAGTAGTGCGAGTCAGCCAGCAGTAGGCCATCTCCCTACCACGGCTTTATGGGCGGTTACATAGGCCTTAAGCATAGACGCCGGTCGAGCGGGCGATAACTACTCTGCTCTCGTAGCCCAGTGCACCCCAAAGAGAAAAAGAGATGCACGTGAATATCGGTCCGTGAGCAGCACAGCGGGAGAGAACCGACATTCGAGTAACTCAATTGAGGGAGGTTGGAGAAGAGGCATCCGGCAGGGAAATCGCGTACTATGGACTGCAAAAAATAAAGGGCAATAGACCCCCGAGGGTTGCACGCAGGGATAGCGGTAGCATTCGCGGCAGCGGCGGCGGCGGCAGCAGCAGCAGCAGCAACAGCAGCAGCAACAGCAGCAGCAATAGCAACAGCAAAAGCAGCAGCAGCAGCAGCAGCAGCAGCAGTAGCAGTAGCAGCAACAGCAACAATGAAAGGAGAGGGCAAATCCGTCGATGGCTCGAGGTGGGGTAGCGCCTGCGCGCGCCTCCCTGTTCCGGGCGCAGAGCGTCGAGCGCCACTCCCGAGCGCGGATTTGCGCGGGTGCGACCGTCCCGTGAGGAGATGTCCAGTGTGGTAGCGAGGGCCCGCAGCGTTTCAGGAGCCCAACAGCAAGTTCGCGCCTCGAAGCAGCTCGCCCGTGGGCTGCCGTCCTCGGACCCGAGGAGGTGCTGCCTGGTCGTATCAGCCTCCAACGAAACAGCCCCCGGAACAGTCCGAGCGAGTATGTTGTTCTCGTTACCCGGCAGCGCTGAGACGACGACGTGGAATCTGCCGAAGGGGATGCTGCGGCCCCAGACGATAACGAGCAAAGCCGAGCTCCTCGTGCTCGCGACGCCGTCTTCGTAGGAAGAGGACCCGGAGCCTCTGCTGTATCACGCCGTGCCACAAGGGAGGAGGAACAGGCCGATACCGCGACCCCACACGAATCCCGACCGACAGTACACGCGTCAGCTACATAATTCGCATACGCAGACACTCGCCTAGCTCCCTGCTCTCCGAGAGGCTTCCAGGTCCTTCCTTGCTTTTTTTAAAACACACACACTCTCTCTCTCTCTCTCTCTCTCTCTCTCTATCTCTCTATCTCTCTCTGTCTATCTATCTACCTCTTTCTACCTATCTCTTCAACCCTCCCACCCCCTTCTCTCTCTCTCTCTCTCTCTCTCTCTCTCTCTCTCTACCACTCTCTGCCCCCCCCCCCCTCTCTCTCTCTCTCTCTCTCTCTCTCTCCCTCTACCACTCTCTGCCACCCCCAGCCTCTCTCTCTACCTATTTATATATATATATATCAACCCTCCCACCCCCTTCTCTCTCTCTCTCTCTCTCTCTCTCTCTCTCTCTCTCTCTCTCTCTCTCTCTCTCTCTCTCTCTCTCTCTCTCTCTGTCTCTACCACTCTCTGCCACCCCCAGCCTCTCTCTCTACCTATTTATATATATATATATCCCTCTGTTCACCCGCTATCTTAAATAGTTCTTTTTGCTGTATTCATTAACTGTAAGTGCATTCTCGTACTTTTTATTTCTATTTCTGTTCGCTGAGTGAGTGCATCACCTACATCGCACATTTCTATAATCTTTGTAATAATTTTCATTTAAGTAGTCAAATCCACGTGAAAGATCTTTTTCCATATATGTCGTATTATGACCTCAACTGAAATACTTCCGTCTTAACTTCTCGTCTTGCGCCCTCTGTAATGTCATTGCAATTATTTTATGAATTAATCGCTGTTTATGCTGCTTTCAATTGATCTTTTAACCTTTGAGTGTATCTGTACTACTGCTAGCTTTCCTCTATCATAAGCATTGTGTTCGCGAGAATTCGATTTTCCTCTATAACTCCCCCAGGAGACGCGCGGTCCTCTTCCTACATGCGACAAGCAATGAGGATCGAGGACGTGAAATAGAAAGAAGACGAGAAATACGGAGAGTAACAGAAGTAGCGGTAGAAGCAGCATCGGCATCAGCGTTAACATCGGCATTGCATCAGCATCAGCATCAGCATCAGCATCAGAATCAGAATCAGCATCAGCATCAGTATCAGCAGCAGTAGCAGCGGTAGCAGTAGCTGTAGCAGCAGTTGCGGCGGCGGCGGCGGCGGCAGCAGCGGCGGCCGTGTCGGCGACTGTAGCAGTGGTGGAAGCAAAAAGAGGAGGCAGCACTGCCAAACCGAAACCGGCGTAGCCGAGTTCGACTCTGCACCTCCTTTTCTCTCTTTCGCAAATCAGTGTCAGTGATAAGGAAAGAGAGGGTGATATATACCAACGGCTGACACAGCCCAATAGAATAATAGAACTCAATATTAAGGACAAACCAAGTTTTCGCGAGGTGCACGGTTTGTTGTTTAGCGCATTACGTATAAAGTATACACATATAGCGCGGAGGCATGTAAAGGTGTGATAATATAAGACAAAGGATTTATATGCCCAGACTCTTTATATCACAGATAAGTTATATAGTGAATAAGTTACTCGGAGATATAAGACAACAATCCGTATATAAATAGTGCGCGTGGGGAGGGTAAACAGACGAGTCGGCTGAGAGTCCGTTTTTTTTTGTTTTTTTTTTTTTATATTTGTTTTTCTGCACGATAAATCAAAAGGTAAGAATAAAGGAGTGCGTAATCGTTCGTGCAGGCGGTAGGTGAATATCGTAATACGAAGGTCATTGGGTTTTCGCCTCGACAGCGAGTCAAAAAAAAAAGGAGAATCAGAGTCCCACAGCTGCAGTGAACTCACTTCGAGTCCTGCAGCGGCTCCTAGCCTTTGTCAGCCGACGAGATGAGATCCTCGTGCGCGATGTCCTGGAGCTTCACCTTCCTCGCGGCCACCGCCGTCTTCATGCCAGCCACGAATCGCATGACCTTCGCACACGCGGCGTAAGTTTTACATGGATTAGCTTTATATCATTTATATTAATAAAACGTACAAACGAAATTGTCTCTAATTTATTATATGTCGCATGTTTCATTCACCGGTATTGTCAGAGTTGCCACTATACCGTTCAAAAAATATTTTCCTTGCTTCATAATTTTCAAACTGACGTTGTATCATGCGATCATTGCATTAATTAATTATAATGGCATTAAGAAAAATAAATCGAATCATATTATACTTTGATAGTACTACCGTTCAAGGTATTTAAAATAATTTCCATATTTTTCAAAGCTGTTATTTAAATGTTGGCAATAATAATATCTTTCGTCTTTTATGTAGTAGAGAAACGAAATATTAATACAACCTATTATATTATTTATTTAGCGTTTATTTATTTCGTCATAAAGAAATACAATTGTAATTATAAAAAAATGTATCTATCATATAGATTAATTAAAAGTAATAATGCTCTATCGAACTTATTTTGAAAATTTATATTTCGTAATGACTCTTGAGAATAAAAGACCTATATCACAAATTCCCTGTTGCTAATAGAATAAATAATAGTTATTTAATATATTAAACAAGAATGAGGTATAATTACATCGCTTTAAGAAAAATACAGACATTTCTATTGATTAACAATTATTATTTTTAATGAATAAATAAATGCTTCTCGTATGTTAAATTTATGTAAAATTGTAAAATCCAAATCTACTTTAGCAATAAGTATTAGTATAAATAAATTTTAAGATGACAAAGCCAATTGTCTATATATATGAATATGAATGAACTTTTGACTTGGCAAAAAATTCTTCATATATTTTGCTGTTTCGTATTTATTCCAACTTTCCAGTTATTCTCAATTTACGCCAAATCGACAAAATATATATTCTATAAAAGGTAAATAGCCAGAAATATTAATTTAATGACAATTGATTTATTAAAATTGATCGTCACAGTTAAGCAAATTGATCTTTAATATACTAGAATAATTTAATTTAGTTACTTATCGATTATAAAAATGCATCTCTATTTTACTGTCCTAAATAGTAAAATAGCCAGGTACAATATCAGCTTTAACACAGTAAATACATATTTTATTCGCATAGGCTTGAGGGTCTGTGTTAGTGAGATATGAGGATCATGTGAGTAGTCATTAAAAATACAAATCAACGACTTACATTGCGTGCGGTATAATACGAATAATATATCATCACCACAAATGCTAAGCTAACGTTAAATAGGTTACACGAATACTACTTTTCCTCTTGTTACTTTTACATTGAAGTTTGCCGTAAATATATATATAGAAAATTTGTTTAGCAATTACGAACAACACGTCTCATCAGGAAAAACGATGACTTCATAAGAATTATTCTACTTTATCTTACTAATGTACTTCGTGTAATATATGAATATTTATTTTTATTTATTCTATTATCTGCAATTTATAAACATTTATTAACAATATCCTTATTTTTCTTAACTTGATGGATTTTCCATCTAAAAGGGATAGAACAAAAAAAAAAATTAAAGACATAAATCTCTGCATAGAATACTCTTTTTTTCATAAAACTACAAAATCATTTTTCTCAATCAATTATAATAGTTATATAATTAAAAAGATTAACTATATGAAGGACAAATACGAAGTTTTTTTGTTCCTCGATAACCTTATTCTTTTTTATAATTATAGATTTAAAGATAATTTTGTTAATATATTTATATTAATTTTATAATACATCATGGAAAATCACTCAATGTGAAATTTATTTGAATTGTAAGATTTTGTAAAAATGCATTTAAGACTTGTTATTCAGGTACGAACTTATTTAAAAAATTTCGTGTGTCAAATACGTGTGTGTGTGTGTGTGTGTGTGTGTGTGTCTGTGTGTGTGTGTATGTGTGTGTTTAGATTTAAAAAAAAAATTTGTATGCCAATAAAAATTAATAACGCTTACACCACAGAGCCAATATATTTCGAACTAAATTAATTTTTAAAACACCTACAATATTATAATCTACATATAGATATATCAATTCAAATAATAAGTTAGAAAATATTTATCATCATTATATTTATCGTTATATAAATTTATATAAATATAAATGGACGTTCCCATATAATATTATATGAATTAAACTTCATTGACCATTAGGGTTCTGCAATGAAATATCGACATCGGTCCGGTGGACCCAAAAGATTTCCCTTTTTACTTTAGAAGAAATTCTAAGATTAGAAGCCAGTATTTTCGGAGAGTTAGTCGTGTTATTAATTTAGTCTTGTAGGAATTAATCTCACATGAATGATGAAGGGTGAAGAGGTGTGTAAAGTAGGTTAATCGAGCACAATATTAACGATCGAGCAAAGCCAATCTTGCTATTAGGCGTCCTGGAAAAAAGATTAAAAAATATTGGTATCCTCTTAAAAGCATAAAGTTTTCCAAAATTTTACGTTACTTAGATGTATTAGTTCCTCGTACTTATACTCCGATTTCGTTTTAACTTTCTCGAAAATGCAACAAGCTTCTTATATTTGAAATTCTTATTTTCCATAATTTAATGCACTATTACTCATATCTATAATTGGGATTCTAGCGCAAATTTATCTTTCTTGTAGTCTTTTAATACATTTTTAGAGAATATATTAAATTATTTTCAATATGAATAATTTTAATATGAATTTTCAATCTGTCTCAAGAAAATTAATCAATACTTAATATGTTCTTTAAGTCATTTTATCATTAATTACAAACTCAAGCTCCAATAAAAACATATACATTGAATGTTAATATTGAGTAATAATTGAAATTCAATATAATTACAACAACATACTTAAGGTTTAAGTAAGGAATAAGAAATTTTCACATTGTATTTATGTGTGCATTTTTAGCAAAGAAAATCTATTGTATATTATGCTAGTTTGTAAAAATGAAAGCAATCGTTTAAAATATTATGCTCGTTTTTTTTCTTTTCTAATGAATATTCTCAACGTAATGTTTAAATATTAAATACTTATAAGATTAAAGTTTTATCAAGGCTCTTATAAATGTTCTAGTTTATATATTTTATTGGCCATATATCTGAAAATATAAAAAAAAATTTTAAACATTATTTATATACGTTACATTATAATTTTACGACATGGAACGTAGAGAGCAAAAATGTATACTTATTTAATCATTATAAATGAATTGATGCCGAATTAATACGGTTCGCTAGTTTATAAAAATATTAAGGATTAGTACAAAAATAAAAACTTACATTGCAATATCCATAGGAAATCGTATCTCACTTTTATAACTTTGAAAGAATTTCTCCTTAACTTCCGTCTTCTTTCCAAAAGACGCTTTTCTTTTCAATATTCTTCCTTACATAGCTTAATAGCTTTACTCAGCGTTCGTTCGCTTCGAATGGAAAAGGCATTCGAATGAAATAAAGTATGTGCACTAGCTTGGCCTTTGGCGGACATCGACCTACTATTCTAGTCACAATACATAAACATGTATAAGCCTTTAAGTCATAGTGTGCTTTCCCTCTTAAAAACGCATTTTTCACTCTTCTATCCATTACTATTATCTTTCACTTTTTCGTGTCTTAACGCTACAGGAAAATTGATAAACAGCTTCTCTAATTTTAAAATTTTATTAAATTTTTTATGAAAAGAAACTAATTATGAATGCCTGACTACATACAGATCATTTCACTGAATTTGGAAGTTTGTATTATTCTATTGACAGAGTATACGATATTAAAATTGTTTTAGTGAAAATAGTACTTATATAATATTTCAAAATATAATATCACTTTAATATACATTTATATACGTAATAAAATTTCCATTTATAAAATACAATATAACTTTTAACATAGGTCTCTTTAACAATAATAGAATGGCAGATAATAAATATAAATTATTTATAAAAATAAATTGTAAATAAATATAAATAAATTAAATATTCATTATTAATTGATAGTAAGTAATAGTTTTTTAAAATTAACTCTATACTATGTTTAAATAAGAATAATTTAGTTACAATAACTTATGAAATTATTCACTTCCTATACTTTCATTGATAAAAACTAAGAATAATTTTGTTAAGTTTCAAAATTATGGAAAAGAATTTTTGCTGGATCATTATTTAAAAGTTTTTTCGTTAAATTGTAAATATAATATATATATATAGTTCTATTAAATTTATCAGATATTCAATCCATACGCATACTATATTCTCATATACATGTCTTAACAAACCTAATGTAAATTTTCATTATTTCGTAATATAAAAATACACACATATATGCAGGTTTAACAGTAATATAGATGTATAATACATACACATCAATAGAGATATAAATATAGATATATAAAAATTAAAAAAGAAAATCTTTTGACATAATAATATATAATAATATTCGATTTGTATAATATTATAATTATTTATATAAATTTCCTTGCTTTAGCTGATATTCAATTTGAACTGTGTAGTTAGATTTTATTAAATAATATACATATCGAAATTTAATCATAGCAGACTTATTTTTCTACTGAGAACTCTTTATTTGCTTAGAAAGCCAACTATTACAAGAACAAATATGATAAAACTTGTCATTTTAAAGTAAAAGAAAAAGATGTCAGAAAATATTCACGAATAAGTTATTTTTCTAATTAAACGTAAATAATGAATACAAAAGTCTTCATAATTCCGGATTAATTTTAACTGTACTGTAACACTCTATCAGCAAACAGTGCTTTCAAAACTCTTCTCGACAGGCCTTCAGACAGCATTCAAGCAAACTCGAAATTCCGTTAATTTTCCTTCAACGAAATTCCACTGCACTGCACTTCACTCATGTATTAATTTCGCCTGACTTTCCTCATTATCTCTCACGTCTTCACTCGTCCTTCTAAAACAGCCTACTTCTTTCCATTTTTACATCTCGAACATATCCCCTGCTACATTCTACTGCATTTTCTTTAAGGTTCTTGTCTTATTTG